TGAAAATCAAAAATCTTTCAAAGTGAAAGTGAAAAAAAATCTACCAAAGTGAAAGAGTGACAATAAAAGTAAAAATAAAAATTTTTGAAAGTGAAACTAGAAATTAAATTACATAAACGATACACTTAAAACAATTAGTCGAATTTAACTATAATACAAGCAAAATTCTTACAAAAATTCAATTATTTTTAATAAAATTTCAGAATATTAAATAAAATTTTTTAAAACTTCATTTTTTTAACAAAATTTTACTTCAATTTTTGAAAATAATTGAATTCTTGCGAAAAATATTTTTATATTTATGAAAATAATTCAAGTCATAAGCAAATTTATTTATTTTTGAAAATACTTGAATTTTTTTGAAGAATTTTATTTAAATATTGGAAAATAATTAAATTGTTATAAAGAATTTTATTGTTTACGAAAATAATTGAATGTTTTTGAAGAATTTTATTTAAAATTTGGAAAATAATTAATATTAATTTCTACAAAGAATTTTACATTTTCAAAGAATAATTGATTTCCTGCGAAGAATATTTATTTATTTGTGAAAATGATTGAATTTTTGCAAAGATTTTTTTTTATTTTTTCAAACATAATTGAATTCTTGAGCATTTTTTTTTTTTTTTTTTTTTTGAAAAAATTTGAATTTTTTGAAAGAATTTCATTTAAATTTTTGAAAATAATAGAATTTCCGCAAAGAATATTTTGTTGTTTATAAAAATAATTGAATTTTTGCGAAGTTTTTTTAAAAAATTTTTTGATAATAATTGAATTCTTGAGCAGATTTTTTTTTATTTTTGGAAATACTTGAATTTATTTAAATTTTCGAAAATATGTGTATTGTTTTCCAAAGTTTTATTATTCATGAAAATAATTGGATTATTGCAAAGAATTCAAATTAAATTTTTGAAAATAATTGAATTTCTGCGAAGAATTTTATATTTTTAAAAAATAATTGAATTCTTGTAAAGAGTTTTAATAAAATTATTTAAAATAATTAATTTTTAGCGAAGAGTTTTACATTTTAAGAAAATAATTGAATTCTTACATAAAATTGAATTCATACGACGAGTTTTATCTAAATTTTTGAAAATAATTGAAAATCTGCGAGGAATATTATTTTATTTATTAAATAATTGAATTTTTGCGATAATTTTTTTGAAAATAACAGACTTCTCGATGAGATTTTCTTTCTCGCTTTCTTTTTAAAAATACTTAAATTTTGTTCAAGAATTCTTTTTGAATTTTGAAAAATAATAGAATTCTTTTGAAAATTTTATTATTCACAAAAATAATTGAATTATTCCGAAGATCTTTATTTTAATTTTTGAAAATAATTGAATTTCTGCGAAGAATTTTATATTTTAAGAAAATAATTGAATTTTTGCCAAGAGTTTTATTTAAATTTTTTTAAATAATTAAAATTTAGCGAAGAATTTTCCATTTTAAGAAAATAATTGAATTCTAGACAATAATTTTATTAAAATTTTTAAAAATAATTGAATTCCTGAGAAGAATGTTTTTATTTACGAAAATAATTGAATTCTTGCTAAAACTTTTAAAAATTTTTTGCAAATAATTGAATTTTTGAACAGTTAATAATAATTATTGTACTTTTTTCCTGAATGAATAAAAAACAGAATGAAAATTTAATGTCCATAAAATTTTTTTTCTAAAAGTGAATATTTTCAGAATAATTTTAAAAAATAATTTTTATTTTTTTTGGATTTCCAGAAAAAAGCCACCTACTTGTATACATTTTCATCCAAAACATAAATTTGATTAACTACGGCAGTGAAATTTTGTAATTTTTTAAAATTCACAGATTGATAACTTTCAAAGAGTTTCTTTCAGAAAAAAAAAATATATACATTTCGCTACAAAATTACATTATTGTTCACTTTTTAAACACAAAAATCTTTGTGGTTTCAGTTTCTCGGCTTTTTTAAGGGTCTCCTTCGTACCACAAAGATTTATTTCTCAAAGAAATCAACTGAAAAGGAAATTTTATTTTCTTCTTTATGTATACATGTTTTCTAAAAGAGCGCACGCTTCTTTAGAAAATAGATGATGAAGAAAAAAAAACATCCCGAACACTTTTTATTTAAATTTCAAAAAAAATATTCACTCGTGTCGAATTCAAATTCATTTCATTTTATAAAAATTATTTTTATATATCATCGACACACTGCATATCAAAAAAAGACAAAGAACTAGTACAGACCTTGATACACTTCATACTATTGAGATCATAATGTCAAAAATCTTGACCTCTCGTCATAGAAGCAAAGAAAAAAAAATTGACATTTACCATCTGATCGAAAATAAGACATTTGAAAGGGCGAATTATTTTCACCATCAAATATTTTCCATTCAGAAAAAATATATTTTCTATGATTTGAATAAAGAAAAAAAAATAATAAGAAAATAAGTGTATAAAAATACAATAGAAAAAAAATTTCTAAGGAGATCAATAAAATTTTTGCAAATATCGAGAAATTTTATTATTTTATTATGAAAAAAAAAAAAATATTAAAAATTGATTCCTTAACAGTGAGAATCGACCCTTCAACCTAGAGCGGCGGAACAAAGGAAGTGCGTGAGATGAAATGTATTAGACAGAGAAGGGGAGATTTTAGAATAAAAGAGCGAATATAACAGAGGGTTGGGTGGGGGGAGGGCAGAAATTTGCCGTTAGGTTATAGGCGAACCCGTCTGTGAAAAATAAAAAAATTCAATGGTCGAGAAGAGTCTCTTCTACCTGTTCAAGGCGAACCACCGCGTCGTTTTACGTCGAAAACCTTCGACATGGCCCACTTTTTTCTCTACTTTTCCATCGCACTTCTCGATTATCGTTTTAGGAACTAAGTAAAAAGGTAATTTCATAAGATTTCTTTTTTTTTCTTCTTTTGCCTCTCATTTTTCTATTTTGCAGATAGAGAGCGAGGAGAGAGAGAAAGAGAGAGAAAGGACAAAAGCAAACCACTTCACAAATTCACGGAAACAATTTCACACCCTCTTCAAATATATACTCGAAAAGAAAAAGAAATTGTTCTCAATTTTGTGTTCAAACCAAAAAAAAAAAAAAACCCTATCTTTTATTATCGACGAATTTGAAAAAGAAGGAATTTTTTTCTGTTATTAGACGCGATGGGAAACAAATATTATTATTGCTCAAAGTGGAAAGAAATTTTTTCTAATAGTAAAGAGAGGTCAAATTGTTACGTTTATGGCATGGGAGTGGGAAAAAAATATTCTCTCCAATTTAAAAGTAAATAATAATAATAATTTTATATTTTATATTAAATTGTTAATTTTCTCTAATATTTAATATTTAATTTTTTAATTAGTAAAGTAAATAAAAAATTTATCCTCTAAGAGAAATTATTTATTTTATTTATTTAGAATCCCCACCATTGTACTTTGCATTTGCTTCACTTCGTTTGTGAGAGAACTTTCATGCCATCTAGGCGGTGAATTAATGAATTGTATTGGCGCGAAATTCAAAACGGAAAAATTTTATTTAACAATATATTAATATTAAATTTAATAAATAATTAATTATTAATAATTTATATCAATTAATAAATTATGTTAATTAATCATTTATATTAATTAATCATTAATATTAATTAATAATTATTAATAATCATACAAATTATAAAACTAAATGTATAAAGTTTGTATATACCTAATATTTGCTTTCCAAATACAGAATTTATGCAAATAAAATTTATGAGAACCGATTTTTATTTTCAAAAAAACAAATCTGAATAACAGTTAAAATTTAACTGTTATTAAATATTTCGAATATTTAGTAAATTTTTTTAAAAAATACGTTAAGTGTCAATGGCAATTCGCACAAGTGTAATTCAGTAAAGATTAAAATTGAGTTAATTTAAAAGCAGAGAACAGTAAAACATAATTTTCTATCGTAAAATTCTTCAAATTTTTTTTAAGATTATTAAAAAAACTTCTAAAGAAGTTATTTTAAATATCAATATTTATTATACTGCGTATATATATTACTTAGTGAGTAATATATATATTTTTGTAATATCAATTTTTGTCAATAAAATCTTTTTGCAATTTCGTAAAGTAATCTACTTCCCTATTTAATCTTCTTTCGAATTAGCAAAATATTCTCTAATTTATATAGAAAAATAAACTTTAACGATTAATCTCGAATATAAAAGAATAATTTACATAAATTATACAAATATTTAAATTATACAATTCTGCAAAAGTATTTTGATTTAGAATTTTTTTTTTTTTGCGCAGAACAGTTTTCTCTTAATTTAAAAAAAAATTGGATTAAGTGATAAATTTTAATACTTGCTTGACAATGAGAAATATTCCTCTATCAAGGAAAAATTTTATTTCCTCCAAATATAATGTGTTTGAGTTAAATAAAAGTATATACTTGCCTTAGAACCTATAAATTATTTATTTGTTTCAAATAAAAATTTTATTCGGTTCTAATAAAATTTCTGTTTTATTTAAATTTCATTTTTCTTAAATTTTATTAAACTTTATTCAATTTAATTCGAATTTTTATTAAATTTTATTTAACCAGAATAAATTTAGTTTTTAATTTATATCTATCAAATAAAATATTTATTAGGTTAAGTAAATAAACAACCTACTAAATTATTTATTTGAGCTTTTAAAAAAATTTCCATTCGTCGAAAATAAAGTTTTGATTCTTTTAGGTAAATTTTCGTAAATTTAAATCTTTCTTTAATTGAATTTCATTTTAATTTATATTAAATTTAATTTAATCAAGGGGACTTCCGGTTTGAGTAAAGTGGCATGTGCACGCGTCTCGAGAAACGCTCTCGCTATATCCGTAAAAAAAGGGCTTTCTGGTTGTTACGATACATAAAAGTGTTGTGAACGATTAAATAAAGGGTTGTGGACTGGATAGCCGTAATAAGTGTTGTGCGGGGTGTTGTGTAGGACGAAGTGTTTTGTGTAGAAACTTAGAAAGTGAGGTTATGAACGATTTGATGATAAGTGATTTGGAGGCGCTTCAGTCGGTTTCTGGGACTTCCGGAGAGAAACCGAGCGACGCGAGCGCCATCCAGAGTCCATCGAAAGAACTCACGAGTGACTTACGAGATTTAATATCTTTTGAGGAAACTGTCGCAGAGGATAAAGAAGGAACAGGCGAAATAGGCAAAAAAAGGAGAAGAGGCAGACCGAGAAAAGGAGAAAACGGAAAAGAAGAAACAGGAATGAAGAATCTAGAGAATTATTGGAAAGGATTTAGTAGTACAAAGGCCGGAGGTGACAATGAAATCGAAGAAGGCAAAGATAAACAGGTAAATGAAAACGAAAAACAAAAAGGAGAAGACAATCCCAAGGTTGTGACCGGGAATGGCTTGCAAACTGAGGATGTCAATTCTAACCAAAGGCAGGAAACTTTTAGCGAAAAAGCTGATAATGTATTTGTAACGACGAAACAATTAATAAGAACACCACAGAAAAACAATATACATAACAAGACTACTCAAACAGATACAAAATACAAGGCAAATGAGGAAGGAAAAAAAGATTGTCCGGAGGAAGATAGAAGGGATTGGGAATCTAAAATAGAAGAAAAGTGGGAGTCGCGATTGGCACAATTGGAAAGTCTTATGCGAACAGAATTTGAGACGATAAGGAAGGACTTGAAGGAGAGAAAAGAAGAAGAAATTAAAAAACAAAATTTCCACGAGGAATTAAAAAGAGAGAATACAAAATACCGGGAGGAGATTAAAAGATTATATAAACTAATCGAAGACCAAAACGAAGAATTAACCTGCGTAAAGGAAATTATGAGAAAGGAGAGAGAATACAAAAATATAAACAATAGGCAAACTCTACAGAAAGATAACTTTCTCGAACATGATAGATCAAATATGTCGAATACAACAGGGCAACAACGTTCACAGACACGACACGAGGAAACAGGAAGAGAAAATGACTTGAGTAATCAATGGGCAGAATTTGAAAGTGCAAATCCAACTCCGACAAATAATAATCAACCTATACAGCTAGGCGAGGAAAACTGGGAAGTAGAGAAGAAGGAAAGGTGGGCGAGGAAGAAAAACATTATAGTGATAGGTCTAACATTGACAACAAGGGAACGGAAAGAGGAATTCGAGCGTTGGATCTTGAATGTGTTGAAAATAGAGGTAAGAGTAAACGCTATGGAAAGAATTAAAAATGGTTGGAGAATTACTTTAGAAGAATGGACAAAGAAAAGGGAGATTATGAGAGAAAAAAGGAAATTGAATCGATTAGGATGGGGTGTTTGGATCATGGATGATCTAACAGATCGACAGAAAGATATCCAAGATTTCCTGGAAGAGGAGGCTGATAGATGGAGACAAAGAGGGAAAGAATCAAAAGTCGTGTATCAAATGATACAAATAGAAGGCACTTGGCTAAAGTGGGATGAATTGGAAGGGGAATTAAGATTATGCCAGGAAAAAGATGACAGGCGGAACATGCGGAGATTTCGAGACTAAAGAAAAAGAGCAGAAAGCTAGGGAGCTGACGATAATTCAATTCAATTCTCAAGGATTAAGTAATTTAAGGAAAAATTGGAAAGCTTTAGAAGGAGGAGATGTGATAGTTATTCAAGAATCCTTTGTAGAAAAAGATAAAATGGAAAAGGTTTTAAAGAGTTTGAACAAAAATTATTGGTGGCAAGGAAAAGCAGCAACCCGAGAGAAATCAGGACGAGGAAGAGCAGGAGGTGGGCAATTAATAGGAATAAAAAAGAAACTGAAGATGGAGTGGTCAGTAACAGAATGGGAATTCGGTTTGCAAATAGTCATTAAAAAGGACAATAAGATTAATTATATAATAATCACAGGATACAATAACAAAGCCTCAAACATTAAGAAATTCTTGAAAGTTTTAGACGAAAAGCTTGATGATCTAGAAGGCACAGAAGCAAAAATAATTGTAGCAGGAGATCTAAACGCCAGAATAGGTGAAGAGCAAGGCGTAGCAAATTGTGGGATGGACGAGGTAAACGAATGGCCACTTAGGAAGTCTGAAGATAAGGAAATTAGACAAGAAGGCAAAAAACTTATAGATTGGTGTGAAAGGAGAACGATGATGATCATGAATGGCAGAGCTGAAGGAGACGAGGAAGGAAAAATAACATGTGTAGGACATGGTATGGGACTGGGAAGTGTACTTGACTTAGTACTGATTAAAATGGAAGAAGAAAACATACCAGAATGGTTCAAGGGACTAAAGATATCTCCACAGGAAGGCTCCGATCATCTAATGGTATTTTACAGATTAGACTGGGGAGACCCAAGGAGAGAAGAGAACACAGAGAATCTGAGGAAGAGAACTAAATATAAACTCCGATGGAAAGCGGCTAGAAGAGAGGAATACAAAGAAGTGAGTGACAAAATATGGGAGAAAATTAAAGAAGAAACAGTAGCAGCTATGGAAGGAATAGAGGACTCTATTAGCATAGAAACGAAGTGGCAGAAAATTAAACAGATAATTAATGAAACGGCAGAAAAAGTAAATATGACGTCAAAAGGAAACTACGCTAGAACGTTTGAAGATGGATGGGACAATGGTCAATATCGAACAATGAGGAAGAAACTTTTTAAAAAATTACACGTTTTTAGAAAGAAAAGGGATTGGAGCAGCAAAATGGAATATTTGACATGCAGGAAAGAAACTGCAAAACTACGAAAGGAACTAATAAAAAAGTGGATAGATGACAAACAGAAACAGGTGCAAGAAAGCAAAAATTTGTCGGAATGGTGGAGAGCGATGAGTTGGTTCAGAAAGAAACGGAAATGTATAGAAAATAATATTAGTGGAAGAGAATGGCAGGCACACTTTGAGAACTTGTTGAATGAGCAACCTGAGGGGATTGAAGAAATGGAAAGAGAGGGAAAAAGAGAAGAACCAAGAGAGGACGGGATGGCAGAAGAATCAGAAGCTTTAAATAAACCTCTGGAATTTGAAGAAGTGCAGAAGGCTATGGGAAAATTGAAGGCAGGAAAAGCAGCAGGAGAGGACGGCATTACAACGGAATTTTTGACAAACCTGTCTGATAACGGTAAAGAAGAGCTGTATAACTTAATTAAAGAAATCTGGGAAAAAGGAGAAATTGTGCAGGATTGGAGAATGGCAATTATCTTCCCTATTTACAAGAGTGGGGACGAGAATCAAGTAGGCAATTATAGAGGGATCTCTCTACTTGATATTGGATATAAGATCCTGGCTACAATAATGGCTAGTAGGTTAGGAGCGTGGCTAGAAGAACAAAATAAACTGACGGAGGCGCAAGGGGGCTTCAGAAGCAAAAGAGGAGCGGCAGAACATATTTTTGTTTTAAACACATTGATAGGCAATAGACTAAGGCGAAAGGGCGGCAAACTATACACATGTTTTGTTGATTTCAAAAAAGCTTTTGACAGAGTTAATAGAAAGAAATTGTGGAAAAAGATGGAAGATATGGGAATTAAAGGAAAATTCTTAGAAGTAACGAAAGAGATTTATAGAACAACTTGGAACGGAATTCTAATAGATGGGGAGGTGACAGGAAAGTTTGAAACAAATAACGGGGTACGCCAGGGCTGTCCACTAAGTCCAATACTTTTCAACATCTTTATAAACGATCTGGAGGAAACGCTGACTGAAAAGAAGGAAGGAGGAACGGCGGTAGGATCAGGCTCAAATCATGGAGTGAAAATATTTGTACTCATATACGCTGATGACGTGGTGCTGTTAGCGGAAGACGGCCAGGAACTGGAAAGGATGCTGAAGACTTTAGAAAGGTGGTCGGATGAAAACCAGCTGGAAGTGAACACGGACAAAACGAAGATTTTGGTCTTTAGTAATGGAGGCAGGAGAAGTAAAAAAGAGTGGAAGTATAAAGAAGTGCAATTGGAAATTGTACAAAAGTTTAAATATCTGGGTTTTTGGTTCACTACCAAGAATAGTTACAAAGCACATATAAATAAGGCAATAGGAAAGACGCAACTGCTGATAAATAAAGTCTGGGGGGAGACTATGAGGGCGGGAATCACTGACTTAAGAAGGAAACTCTACTTTATGGATTCAACAGTGAAAGCAGGAGCTATGTACGGTGTAGAACTGTGGGGTTGGAGCAGACGAGAGGAATTGGAGAGGTTGCAGGGAAAATATACTAAAATGAGTATGGGTTTAGCAAAGAACACGCCAGACTATATCTGGAAGCTCGAGGCAGGAAGAAGGAGCATTGAGATCGAAGCATTTAAAAGATCGATCAACTTCATGATAAAAATATACAAAATGGAAGAAAACAGGTGGGTAAGGAAGTGTCTGATGGAAGAAATTAGGGCAATTAAGAACAACAATCCATCCAAGTGGGGGAAAGATTTGGAACGGTGCTTGAAGAGTCTAGGAGACGGTCAGATTATTAATCAACTGTGGGATAGGAAACCAGTGGAGGAAGTCGAGGCAAGAGTTAGGCAGCTAATTAAAGTTAAATTGGAACAAGACGTACAAACGGACTGGTCAAAGGTGGATAAATCGTCCTTTTGTGAATATTACAAATCAATTAAAGAAGGAATAAACATGGAGGTATATTGGGGGAGGAAAGATATGTCAAAAAGTCAAAAAGAGGGCTGGGCTAGATGGAGATGTGGAAATGCAATAAAAGAAGAGAAAAAGGGCTTTTCAGATAGATCCTGCAGAGGGTGCAGGTCGGAAAAAGAAGTTTTGGAACACGTAGTCCAATGTGATACCGTTCTCCAAGAGCTAAAAGCAGACTCCAAAACATGGTGGCAAGATTGGAGAGGCAAAAGTGCAAAGGAACTTTGGAGGAGTAGACTAATTGAGGGATTGAAAGGCAATTGTGATAAAAACCTGTGTAAGAATCTAAATGAACTAGAAACAATTTTACGTAAGAGAGTATTAATGTAAATGTAATTTATAATTTCTTTTTGTGTATTGACATATATATATATATTTATATACTATATTAATATTTTATATTATATGTTTATGTAAGTGTGAATAAGAAACCAAAGGCTGGAAGAGGATGTGAAACAATAATTTGTAACATTAATGAATAAAATTCTATTCTATTCTTAATAGAATTTTCGAACAGAATTAATTTAATCAAGTGAAATTTATTTTAGACGAATAAAAAGTTTAGAAAAACTTACTCAATTTAAAACAAAATTTTTTGAAACAAATAAAATATTAAGAAAAATCTCCTAAATTACTTATTCGTTGGAATAAAAATTTTATTCGGTCAAAATATAATTTAATTCAACTATTTATACTTCTTTATTGTTTAAAATTCGAGTAAAAAGGAAAATCCTTCTCAATTTTTAAGAGAAGTTGGGACTATGTGACCATAAAAATAAGAGAATTCCTCTGCCATTGAAAAAAAAAATTGTATAACAAAATAGACATCTTGTCTTTGAAATATAACCTATAAGAACTTTCATAAATCTCCATCTGCGTAAATTGACTGAAGAAATAGCTTCCGCTATTCTTTCACAGTCTGCGAATTTTATATGAGACCAAATAATCGTTCCTAAATGTGCGGTTTTACCAGGATTTCACAAAACCAAATAGATATTCCTCTATAGATACCTATACTACCCCTATAGAACACCTATCTACTATTTTAACGATTACTATTTCAAAAAAAAAATTTTTTCACGTCCAACTTATTAACCACACAGAAAAAAAACATTAATTCTTTATAAAAAAAATTATGAATTAAAAAAGAAGTAAGAAAGTAAATTTAATCCAATTACTTTCATCAATAATGAAATCTTCAAAAGAATTCAAGTATTTTTAAAAATTTAATAAAATACTTTAAAAAAATGTAAGTATTTTCAAAAATAAAAAATCTGCTCAAAAATTCAATTATTTTCAAAAATTGTTTTGGACATTAAATTTTCATTCTGTTTTTTATTCGTTCAAGAAAAAAGTACAATAAATATTAATTTCATAATAGAATTTTAATTAAATTTCTGGAAAGAATTTAATTATTCTAAAAATTTTTTAATGAAATTCATATTATTATTAACTGTTCAAAAATTTAATTATTTGCAAAAATTTTTTTTTAATTTTATCACGAATTCAATTATTTTGGCAAATAAAAATATTCTTCTCAGGAATTCAATTATTTTAAAAAATTTTAATAAAATTATTGTCAAGAATTCAATTATTTTCGTAAAATGTAAAATTCCTTGCAAAAATTCAATTATTTTAAAAAATTTAAATAAAACTCAATTATTTTCTTAAAATGTAAAATTTTTCGCAGAAATTCAATTATTTTCCAAAATTTAAATAAAGTTCTTCAAAAAAATTCAATTATTTTCAATAAAACAAAAAATCTGTGGAAGAATTCAAATATTTTCAAAATTTTAAATAAAATTCTTTGCAATAATCTAATTATTTTCATGAATAATAAAATTCTGCAAAACAATTAAATTATTTTCCAAAATTTAAATAAAATTCTTCAAATAAATTCAAGTATTTTCAAAAATAAAAAAATTTCTGCTCAAGAATTCAATTATTTTCAAAAAATTAAAAAAAAACCTTTGCAAAAATTCAATTATTTTTATAAATAAAAATATATTCTTCGCAGGAAATTAATTATTTTCTTAAAATGTAAAATTCTTCGCAGAAATTCAATTATTTTTAAAAATTTAAATAAAATTCTTCAAAAAAATTCAATTATTTTCAATAAAACAAAAAATCTGTGGAAGAATTCAAATATTTTCAAAAATTTAAATATAAATTTTCGCAAAAAGTCAATTATTTTAAGAAATAATAAAATTCTTCGCAAGAATTCAATTATTTTTTATAATACAAAATTCTTTCCAGAAATTCAATTATTATTCAAAATTAAAATAAAAAATACTTCGCAATATTCTAATTATTATCATGAATAATAAAATACTTCGCAATAATCTAATTATTTTTATAAAATAATAAAATTCATCAACTTAATTCAATTATTTTTAAAAAATTAAAAAAAAATCTTTTAAAAAATTCAATTATTTACAGAAACTTAACAAAAAATATTTGCAAAAATTCAATTATTTTCCATAATTTAAATAAAGTTCTGCAAAAAAATTCAATTATTTTCAATAATACAAAAAATCTGTGGAAGAATTTAATTATTTTCATGAATAATAATATTCTGCAAAACAATTCAATTATTTTCCAAAATTTAAATAGAATTCTTCAAATAAATTCAAGTATTTTCAAAAATAAAAAAAAATCTTTGCAAAAATTAAATTATTTTTATAAATAAAAATATATTCTTCGCAGGAAATTAATTATTTTCTTAAAAATCTAAAATTCTTCGCAGACATTCAATTATTTTCAAAAAGTTTAAATAAAAATCTTTGCAAGAATTTAATTATTTTTTAAAATATAAAATCCTTTACAAAAATTCAATTATTTTCCAAAATTAAAATAAAATACTTCGCAATAATCCAATTATTTTCATGAATAATAAAATTCATCAACTAAATTCAATTGTTTTCAAAAAATTTTTAAAAAAATTTTCGAAAAAATTCAATTATTTTCATAAATAAAAAAATATTCTTCGCTGGAATTTAAATTATTTTAAAAAATTTTAAATTTTAATCAAAACAAAAATGTTTTATTTTTTATGAAGATAATTATTGTTTAAAAAAGGAAATAAGAAAGTAAAAAAAAGAAATTATTTCTAAAGACTATCGTCTTTAGAAATAAAGTCGGATTTATTAATAATTTTTCAAAATTGAAAAAATTTTCTTTTTCTGGAAAAAAAAGTTCCTTTGTTAGTACAAAGGAACTTTTATAGAAATTAGAAGAAAATTTTTTATTATTACGATTTATCTATTGATCAATTTCTTAAGAAAACAATTTTTACCGCACACTGCATTGGTATTGTAGAGAGAAAAAAAAATTCTTTTTTGTCTGAGATTCTTTGGCATTTTTCAATATTGGCGCAAGGCGAAATAAGAATCCTCAGACTAATCCTTTTCAGGTAGACAGAGGTTCCATTCACGTAACCTCCACAGTCTGAAGCTTTACTACTATATATATACATATATACATATAATCAAACGGAAAGTGCAAACTATCTGACGCCACTACTATATAGTTATATTAGGCATATATATATACATATGTATATTGCGGTAGACGTCTGGAAAAAATATACATGAATACCTCGAAAAAGATTTTTTCAAAGATTAAATCTCATCAATAATCTAAATTTTTCTATCTTTTTATAATCATATCATTTCACATCATTCCTCACTGAATTATTATCAAATTGAATTTATATTATCAGTCATGAATTATCAGACTTTTTTTTATCATACAACTAATAATTGCTTGTCACTTTCAATGTCAAGATGTTAACAAAAAAATTTATTGATAAATGTTTAGAAATGTAACAAAATTTTCACCTTGAAGAAATAAAACAATTTAGAGAAAAGGTGATGGAAAATTTTTGAAAATATAAAAAAATTGATTGATAATTATACGTAATAAAAATTGTGGACTACGATCAATTGGCATTTAACCAAATTTTCAATTAACTAAACTGCTAATCTAAAATTCAATTATCTTTATAAATAACAAAATACTTTTCTAAAATTCAATTATTTTAAAAAATTTGATTAAAATTCTTAGCAAGCATTCAATTATCTTCTTAAAATATAAATTTCTTTGCAAGAATTCAATTATTTTCTTAAAATAAAAAATTCATCAAAAAATTCCAATTATTTTCAAAAAATTTAAATAAAATTCTTCAAAAAAATTCAAATATTCTCAAAAATAAAAAAATCTGCTTAAGAATTCAATTATTTTCATAAATAAATATATATTCTTGGATGAAATTCAATTATTTACTAAAATTTAAATTAAGTTTATAAAAAAAATTCAATTATTTTTGTGAATAATAAAATTGATAAAAAAAAATTTAATTATTTTTCAATATTTAAATAAAATTCCTGAAAAAATTAAAGCATTTTCAAAATTAAAAAAATTTGCTTAAGAATTTAATCATTTTCATAAATAAAAAAATATTCTTCGCAGGAATTCAATTATTTTCAAAAATTTAAATAAAATTCTTCGCATGAATTCAATTATTGTCTTAAATAGTATAAAATTCTTGGCAAGAATTAAATTATTTTTAAAAATATAAAATTCTTCGCAGAAATTGAACTATTTTCATAAATTTAAATAAAATACTTTGCAATAAAATCCAATTATTTTCATGAATAATAAAATTTATCAACAGAATTCAATTATTTTGATAAAATTAAAGAATATTTTTCACAAGAATTAAATTATTTTCTTAAATATCATAAAATTCTTCGCAAGAATTCAATTATTTTTTAAGATATAAAATTCTTCGCAGAAATTCAATTACTTTCAAAAATTTAAATAAAACTCTTTGCATGAATTCAATTATTTTCTTAAATATCATAAAATTCTTCGTAAGAATTAAATTATTTTTTATAATGTTAAATTCTTCTCCGAAATTTAATTATTTTCAAAAATTTAAATAAAACTCTTCGCAGGAATTCAATTATTTTCTTAAATATCATAAAATTCTTGGCAAGAATGAAATTATTTTTTAAAATATAAAATTTTTCGCAAAAATTAAATTACTTTCAAAAATTGAAATAAAATACTTCGCAATAATTCAATTATTTTCATGAATAATAAAATTCTTCAAAAGAATTCAATTATTTTCAAGAAAATTTTGGCTAAAATACAATTATTTTCATAAATAAAAATATATTCTTCGAAGGAATACAATTATTTTCAAAAATTTAAATAAAACACTTATAAATTCAATTATTTTCTAAAAATAAAAAATTCTGCTCTGAATTTAATTATGTTAAAAAATTTAATAAAATTCTTGTCAAAAATTCCAACTCGTTAAAAAA